TGCTCCAGTTCCCGTCACTGTAACGGGCGAACAAACCGCAAGGTTGTTCGTCGATGGCGTGTTCCGCTATCACGGTCTCCCGGAGACGATTGTCTCGGACCGAGACCCGCGGCTCACTGCCGCGTTTTGGAAAACGCTGCTCCCTTTACTGGGAGCTCGTCTGCAGATGTCCACTGCGGACCATCCGCAGACCGACGGCCAAACAGAGCGCGTCAATCGAGTGCTCGAGGACACTCTGCGCAGTGTGTGCGCGGCAGCACCACGTACGTGGTCGACGCAGCTTCCAGTTGTTGAGTTTGCGCTCAACAACGCGGTGCACGCGTCCACGGGGTTCACGCCGCTCTACTTGAACGGCTTCCGCCACCCCAGAGTGCCTCTCACTCTTCGAGGAGACACCGACTCCTCTGTTCTAAGTGGGGGAGAGGCTCGGAAAGCCCTTTTCCTCCCAGGTCTCGGATGTGAGACCAGTTTCGCTGCGGAAACAGGTGGAATCCTTTATAGATACCAAGCTGAACATTTTCAGCAGGGTCCGCGATGCCATGGCAGCGGCCCAAGATAAACAAAAGGAGTACTCAGACAAACAAGGAAGAGGAAACTTAAGTATATTTGAGGTTGGGGACTTAGTGTTGCTAGACACGAGGAACCTACCTCTAGACACTGTTAGCTCTGTCGGCAGCAACAAACTGAAGCACCGCTTCATCGGACCTTTTGCAGTCCTGGCCAGACATGGTGCGTCGTACACCATCGACCTTCCAAAGTCAATGACGACGCACCCGACGTTCTATGTCGGACGTCTTAAGCGGTACTTTGACCCGCAGGGGGTTGCTGACTCGCAGACCCCCCTTGACCCAGCTCCTCGAAGCGAGGGCCGGTCACAGTCGTCGACGAGGGCGTCGGAGCAGGCACCCAAGCCTCGGTCGGGACGGCAAGGCTGCGGTCAAGACCGTACGCCGGAGGGGCTCCATACGAACGGACCCCGGCGCCATACGCCGAGTACGCTGAGTACGCCGGGTACGCACCATACGCGTACGTCTGAAGGTGTGCCGCAGGCGGCTCCGGACGTGGCAACAAAGCCTCGATCCGTCGGATCATGCGAAAGGCCTCGTCCAGATCGGACGAAGAGGCCCGGCGGTCCACCCGCAGGTGCAGGCTCGCGACCTCTCGCTCCACCAGGTCCAGGCGACCCGCAAGACGAGCGAGCTCGCCCTGATTCCCGGCCTGGGCGGCAGCATTACCGCCAGTCCCAAGGCCAAGTGCAATCTCAAGCACGAGGAGACGTTGACGGAGGCGGTCAACCTCAGGGTCCCGTGTCGGACCCGCAGTCGGAGCACTCGAACGAGAGTGGCTCTCGGGAGGCGCCGAGTACTCGTACTCGTACGAGGGCACCTCCGCCCCTGCTTGAACGGAATGGAGAAGTCCACTTCCACGTGGAGCGGATCCTCCAGGAGCAACGGTGTCGCGGGAAGCGACAGCTCCTCGTGAAGTGGAGGGGTTATGCCCACTCCGAGAACTCGTGGGAGCCGATTGAACGGCTCCTGATTGACTGCCCGAAGGCTGTCGCAATCTGGGAACAGAAGCGGCGGCAGCTTCATAAGTAGTCCGGGGCTTCTTGCCCGAACGGGGTACGGATGATGAATACATACCGTACCCGCGCTCATCGTGAGCGCTAGAAGCCGCGCGCTTCAGGATGTCCCTTGGCAGCATACGCTTGCTGATGAAGTGGGCAAACCTCACACGAAGATCACGCTGGTCCAGGATGTGGGACAGCTGCTGATCTTCATGGAGTTCCCATAACTCCGTGGGCGAGTACTTGAGAGTCTCCACCCACGCCCAGAACATGTCCTCACAAGACCTCCACGTGGGACAGTTCTCGGGCATAACCCAGGGGTATCCCCAAACAGGATAGAGACCACCCCGGGTCTCGGGCTTCTTACGACAAGTCGTGAAGTCCTTTAGGGGAATGCGGTGTGGCGCGAGAAGCACACACCGAGCAGCCTCCAAGTTGTCGACGAACAACTGTTCTTTCTGAACCAGGGCTCGTTCATAGATGCCCCTAGAAGTGTGGCCGCCCACAAGGCCACGAGGAGCGACGAGGACTTCTAAGAAGAGGTCAGCCCCAGAGCTCTCCTCGGGAGGCCAATACCCTCTTGAGTTGATGGCAGCTCCCTGGCTGACGGGTGCCGCCACCGAGCCCCCACGCACACGCTGGGCAGCTTGAAATTCCTCTTGCTGCTGGTCGAGGTCATTCGAGACCTCCCGGGGCTCAACGATAGCACCCTCCTCCTCTTCTTCTTCCTCCTTCTCCTCCTCTTCATCCGAGGAGTCGAAGATACTCTGATAGGAGCGTCGAGTCTCCTTCTCCTCGCGGAGTGGAGACTTAGAGGCTGTACGCTTCTTTGAGGGCTTGGCGCCTTCGGCTTTAGAGGCCTTAGCACGCGCAAGACCCGGCAAGCGAGAGACGTTTGCGAGGATTCTCTTTCTCATCGCCACCGGCTTTGGGATCGTCCTTAGCCTTGACGGCCGGACTCTCAGAGCGCATAGAGGTCCTAGGACTGTGATCACCTTGATCACTAGCGAGAGACTGCACGCTGTCATCTTTGTGTTCACTGGGCACTGGGATGTGCCCTCCCACAGAGTCCGCAGGAGCATCGTGAGTGCTCTCGGACTCGGCATCGTCCTCACTGCCCGAGTTGAACTCATGTTCCACGAACCGAGGGTTCGGACGATTGTCTGAAGATGAGGGCGACGGGCTGCGGCGCTTGCTTGCGCGCTTGTCCACAGCCGCGTCACCCGAGGAACCGATCGCCTCGGAGGCCACCTGAGTAGCCTCCTTGAGTGCAGAGCCTTTGCTGTGAGGCTTAGAGCTCTTGGCTTGCGCCCTACCGGCAGCAGCCTTGGAGCGTGTCTTAGCACCGCTCTTTGCAGTGCCACGAGGCATAATAACGGTCGAAGTGGAGACCTAGACGAAGAGCGCACAGGTTGCTGCTCGAGGTTCTAACTGTGAAGTGAGCCTCCGCCGCGCTCGCGCGGCCAAGTCGATGGTTTTCGACTTTGAGAATGAGAGTTTGTGACGAACACCTCTTCATTCTGATTGGTCGGTAAACCGAACCTAAGTGGGGGAGGATGTAACGGGGTACGTAGCCCTAAGTGTACCCTGGTTACATGAAGTGTGACACTTCACACTTCAGGAGTATGACACGTCATACTCCGGGATATTTGGTACAAGGTACCAAGGTCGTTCAAAGCCAACCATTGGTTAAATGACATTGCATTTCTATAGGTAACTAATAGTTTGTATTAAACCCAAACTTAACCTACCTATAAATATACTCAGTTTACAATCTACCTTATTTAGGTCACTTCGCTCTCTTTAATTAAAGAGGGGACCTGTGAACTACCGTTCACTGAGAGTTTGTATACTCTCGGAAGATAACTTCCTCTAGCGTAAGGTGCTGTGTGACCCCGTCACAGACGAACAGGGCGCCGCTTGGGTTGGTCATGCACTTTATGCTGGATACTCACAATGTTTTTTTTTCTTTATTAGATATATCTACGAACCAACCAACAGTGCGTATTTGCGTATTTAGTAAACATAACTTCCAGTTTTTCCTAGAACCAGTACCAGTACCAGTCACATCAGTACCTATCCCAAAACTAGTCAAAAGTAGGGTGGACCACCTACTCAAAGCACACCAGGCATCAATCAACAGAAACCATCTCGACTCCATTAGTTCAGGTTTTATTCTAATAGTGCAATATTTCGAGGGGCCCAACCGTGCTAGCCTATTTTCTATATTGGTTCGTGTTTGCGTCTTTCTTCACGCCCGGATATTCCACGGAGAATTCATATGTGTATTGGTAGGTTGTGTGTCCGGGTACATCATCTAATGGAGCGTGCTGGTACTTAGCGTACTTGTCCAACTCAGTGTATTCCGTCACTCAGCTTAATATCGACTGCTTCGAGCTCTCTACTTCTGGTGACTCTGTGTCAGCCGGATTACGGCCGTTGATCAAGCTATGGCCACGACAGCGTGCTGGCATGAACCAATGGCGAGAGGGAAAGCTGTAAGGCACGCGTCATAGTGCCTTTCGATGAAGAGAAGGCTTACGCCACTGCGCTGCATTGGACTTGGAGCACGCTGCATGAATGACGAGTGGGCACGGGAACGTGTCCTCGATTGCATAATCGTTGAGCCTGGATGAAGACACAAGGAGAGTTAGTTCAGGTCAGCGAGTTTGTTTGCTTTTCTTTCATTAATAAACTTTCCTCATCGGAAGAAAACCCCGGGTCTCGCGACAAAGCTAGCTTTGCGCTCTCTGAAGTGTGAGTTTGTTGATCAACCTTTCTCGACGCAGTCTACCGTCTAGATCGTCATCTCCTCCACGCGCTACTGGATATTGCGCGCCCAAGTCCGATCGGCTTCGACTAAGTGCGGTTTTGGGCGACTGACATAAGCTCGACTTAAGCTCGGTTGAAGTGTTAAGCTCGAACAACTTCAAGATAGTGGGCTTCCCTGTTGACGCTGACGGAGACGTAGAGATGTCAATCCCTCAACCGATCTTTGAGGTCATTAGGGCTCCAGAGCTGACCAGCTGGGAGCACGCTGCTCTGATTGAGTGGCATCGTGAGTGGGAGAGTTACGTGGAAAAGATTCGCCACCGATGAGACGTACGACAATGTTGTTGCAACTGTCAAGGGCTCGGTGAGACGGCAGACGCTAAATAACCTGGCTAAGTACGTGCTCAAGAAGCCTATTGCGTCGGTAGCCGACGCGGACATCATGAGTGTTGTCGAAGCACGCTGTCGTACACTTAAAAACGATTTCGTTCCTGACGTCTCGTCGCTGTTCCGTGCGAACCTAAGGATAAACATGACAATTGATGACTGCGACGCACGCATCTTCCGCTACTATGAAGGTTTTAACGGGATTGTGGAGGACAATGGGCTACAAGGGCTGATTGGGAACGAGAATGAAGCGGACGCAGGCTACAAGAGTAGAATGAAGGCCCGTTGCCGACTACTGGTTGAAAACTTGCAGCCCCCAGTCCTCAAGGCTCAGATCGGTCGCTTTATCGATTTAGAGAGGCGTGACTGCAAATCTGATGATGTCGCCCTTTTCAACCTGATTCCGGAGCTTGCAAAGATACAACAGCGGTTTCATCGAATTTCACAGGATTATGCGGGAAAGCAGGATTCTAAAACTATCAAGCCAGAAAAGAAACCACAACGTGGTGCTCCGACCAAGCCCACGTCAGCACCCTCGCCGGCACCCACGACGACCACTACTGCGACGGGACCTCGCCCTACGCGCTCTCCTCCTCGTGATGGCTGTCTGTTCTGCAAGGGAGAACACAGGCTCAATGACTGCCCCACAGCCACGGACGCACAGCGTAAAGATGCCGTGAAGAAGTTTCGCGCGGCTAAAGAGCGGCGTTCGGGGCCGGTGCGGTCAAAGGCTGCCCGTTATGCGACGCCTGCCGGTTCTGTACGTATCAACGAGCTCCTAGATGTTCCCTATACACCCGATACCGGCGCCGACAAGAGCGTGGTTCCGGAGAAAATAATGGCTTCACTCCTGGAAGTGCAACCTACGCTAGAGACTACTCCACTGAGTACGCCTGTTGAAGCTGTTATGGCTGACAGCAGGGTCCAATTGTTCAAACAAGAGGTGAAATTGGATCTCGAGCTAACTACAGTGGCCGGGTTGGTATCACTGCGCTCAGTACCGTGCTGGGTTCTATCTGGTGAAGGTGATGAGTTTCTATTGGGCCGGGATGTTCCGAAGGGGCTCGGCATCACCGTGGAACAACAACTCGCTCAACTGGCTGGATCCCCACTGCCGGAGGCAGAGCCTGACGAATTGTGTAGGTGCTGAGTTTTCGGACCTAAATAGGCCAATCGACTCTGTAGGTGCTGAGTTTTCGGACCTAAATAGGCCAATCGTGTAGGTGCTGAGTTTTCGGACCTAAATAGGCCAATCGACTCTGTAGGTGCTGAGTTTTCGGACCTAAATAGGCCAATCGTGTAGGTGCTGAGTTTCTGGACCTAAATAGGCCAATCGACTCCGCCGGAATCGCTTCTCGACCGAGCGGTGGCCAATGGGCTGCCGAGTGAACATGTTAGTGACTTGCTGGATGAGTTTCCAGACGTCTGGCGTGATGCAGTTGGTCCTGACCCCCCTGCCAATGTGGAGCCTCTACGCGTGTCGCTGAAGGTGGACGCAACGCCCTACAGGAGCCCTGCACGCAAATATGCGCCTTTGCAAGCCCAGTTCATCCGTGACTATGTGCAATATTTGGTTGATAATGGGCTGGTAGAGCAAAATAACGCATCTCGCTGGGCAAGTGCTGTAGTGCCTGTGCGCAAGCCGGGGAGTTCCGGCTGACCATTGACTATAGGGTCGTCAACAGTATGACAGTCCCCATTGCTGGTACGATGCCTAGTGTCGCCACTACGACCGACGCCTTCAACGGTAAGAAGCTCTTCGAACGTTTGACTTCACTAAGGGATTCTGGCAATTACCTCTACATGAAGAAAGTCGAGAGATATTTTCTTTTATTACGCCCGATGGTGTATTTACATCTGATCGAGTCCCCCAAGGAGCGATGGACTCCGCCTTGCATTTCCAGAGCCAAGTCCAGACCGAACTAGCCCCGGTGATACCACATTCGGCCCTTGTGTGGGTCGACGACGTGATTTTATTCGCTCCAACAATACATGACTTCCTACAGACGCTTCGAAAGCTCTTCGAGATCGTCAGTGCAGCCAACTTCAAGCTCAACATGCTCAAGTCGTCGTTGTTCGAGCTAGAGATCAAGTGGTGTGTCAAACTAGTTTCGAGCGACGGAATTCGCTATGATCCTGCGCGCGTGGACGCTTTGGTGGAACTTCCGCTCCCTGCAACTGTGGCAGATCTGCAGCGGTTTGTATTTGCAACGAACTGGTTGCATGACTCGCTTCCGGACTACACGCACTGTGGCTCCGCTTCCATGACAAGTTGGAGGCCGAAAAGAAGCGGATCGGAAGACGGAACCGAAATGCATTACAAGTGGCTACATCATGGGATAGTGACGAAAAGGCTGCCTATGAGAATGTACTTTCGTTGGTAAGAGACTCTGCGCTGATGGCGCACCATGATCCGGACGCTGAACTGTGCGTCTTCACTGATGCGTCGCTTTCCGGGTTCGGTATCGTGGTAACACAAGTCATGCAGTGGCAACCAGGCATTCCTGTTGAGCGCCAGAACCACCAGTTGATCATTTGCAAAGGCTGTACATTCAAGCACTCACAACTTAATTGGACGGTGGTGGAAAAGGAGGCGTATCCGATCGTGAAGGCCTGCAACAATCTTGGGTACTTACTGCTGCGACCGGGAGGTTTCCGGTTGTTTTGTGATCACGCGAATTTGATCTACATATTTGCTCCGCATGCCGACTTGAAGAAACATGTGCGATACCGTTTGCAGCGGTGGGCGATGCGGCTGTGTGGTCTCCACTACCGCATTGAGCACATTTCTGGTGATGCTAATGTATGGGCAGATGTTGTGTCTCGGTGGCACGTCCGCGGTGAAGAGCAAGTTTTGGTTGCGGCTGTCCAAACACGAGGCCGACGGAACGTTCCTGTTGAAGATCTATCGATGCTTCGCCCTCTGATGGACGCTAATTTTGTTTTTCCTACCTGGACGGACATCGCAGCTGCGCAGTCTGTAGCTGGACGAGAGAAGGCTCGACTGCGAGTCGATTTTTCCGAGGAGAATGGTGTACTGCTTGTCGATGAGCGTCCATGGATCCCAACTAGAGCTCAAGATTTATTAGCCAGAATTCTCGTGGCTGCGCACTGTGGTGCGCAGGGGCATCGTGGTCAAGAAGCAATGATCATCGTACTGAAGTCTCGATTCTACATTACGAGGTTAGAGGATAAGGTGGCGAAGCTCGTCCGGGGGTGCTTGCTGTGCAAGCATTTTAAAGGACCTCGACTTATTCCACGACCGTATGGACCGCTACTTACACCTACGAAACGAGCTCGCCCACTGGGACTTCCTTTTCTTTGGCGATGGCTATGGAGACTCAACCTACCTTCTAGTGGTCAAGGACGGACTTTCGCATTTGTGTGAGCTGTTTCCGTGTGCTACGCCGTCGGCATACGTGGCTGCGGAGGCGCTGCTGATGTGGTATTCCCGGTATGGCCTGCCTCAGACGCTGCTATCAGATCAAAGCACGCATTTCCGTAATGAAATGGTGCAGCACTTGGCCACCCGATTGAAAATGGAGCTGTACTTTACGCCTGTGTACTCCCCCTGGTTAAACGGAGCAGTTGAAAGACTGAACAAAGATGTCCTCCAAGTTGTACGAGCACTCCTGATGGAATACTCGCTGGATAGCCATGAGTGACCGTACTTACTGCCGGTGATTCAGGCCAACTTAAATCATACGCCTGTGAGATTACTTGCAGGTCATTCGCCAGTCGAAGTGTTCACCGGACTGCCGGTCTTATCAGCGTTGGATGTATTGGTTGTTCCAGCCACTGAAACCTCCGTTGAGCGAGTCGTGGAACTTGGTGATATGAGCGATAAAGTGGACAGTCTACGCGCTTCGCTACAGGACCTACATCGCGAGGTGAACGATACTAAAGAGCGCAAGCGGCTGCAGGACATGAGAGCTCACAAAGGTACGTCGGTGAACTTTGATGTGGGCGACTTCGTGCTTTGGTCAAGAATCGACCAACGACTCCCCAATCACAAGCTTCTAGGCCAATGGGTTGGCCCGTTCGAGGTTGTGAAGGCGCTGCTTCAATCGTTCGAAGTCAAACACTTAGTGACGGGACGTGTCTATGACGTGCATGCTTCGAGACTAAAGTTTTATGCTGATTCGGCCCTAAACACTACGGAGGAGCTACTAAAACTCGTTTCGAGTCAAGGTATGATGCTGGGTGTCGAACGAATCGTGGATCATCGTTTCAATCACGAATACGGACGACGGGAGATGTGGTGGCCTGGGTCGGACTTCAGGCGATTGAAAACTCGTGGGAGCCGCTCGCTACGCTTGTTCAGGATGTAATTGTTATAGTGCGCAACTACGTCGCCACTCCGGCTAAAGATGATGAAATCCGCGGACAACTCGACTAGTTAAATGTTCCCATCGTGTCCAAGTTTTGAGAGGCACTGTCAGCCGGATTACGGCCGTTGATCAAGCTATGGCCACGACAGCGTGCTGGCATGAACCAATGGCGAGAGGGAAAGCTGTAAGGCACGCGTTATAGTGCCTTTCGATGAAGAGAAGGCTTGCGCCACTGCGCTGTATTGGACTTGGAGCACGCTGCATGAATGACGAGTGGGCACGGGCACGTGTCCTCGATTGCATAATCGTTGAGCCTGGATGAAGACACAAGGAGAGTTAGTTCAGGTCAGCAAGTTTGTTTGTTTGCTTTTCTTTCATTGATAAACTTTCCTCATCGGAAGAAATCCCCGGGTCTCGCGACACTCTGCGGCCTTGTGCTTGTTGTGCCAACCTCACAGTGTAAGCCGTGGACTCCCTCTCTCCCTCTCTCCGTGTATGCGGTGCAAAAGGTCTTCTTAGCGGAGCGTCGGTTTAATTTAAAGCTTACCCGGGCTATTTTTTTTCATCGTCTGGTATTCTATCATTCTAATACCCATATCATCAATCGCCTGCGAAGGCGATGCGAACAACGACACACGAGCTCGCTATAATACTTGTTCAGCTACATGAATTTTGGCGATGGCCAAGTTAAACTTGGTGTGCTTCGAGTTCATGTACCACCAGTACTAGTTTTGGGACTTCGGCTACGAGGTTTTTGAGCATTGTGTCTTCTTAACGGAAGCGATGCTTACCGGTACACCGTCGCCAAACTCTTCGTATTTGGCCCATGTTTCGTAGCAAGGGCAAAGTCGCATTCTTGGTGTTCAAAGGAGTTTGGTATGTATGAAGGAAATTTTAAAATGTCCGGACTCCAGAACATATCCCTCTGTCAGCTAAAGCATGGTATTCAATTTACAGTGCCGGAGTAGGGAAGCGAATAGCGGGTGTAAAGCAAAACAATTACTCGTACGGATTGACGGACGACGCTTGTTACCTTCGTTAGCTAATACAGTCCGTACAACAGCTTTTGATCAATTGACCATGTTGAGGCCGTTGTACGAGCTCGTCTTTAACAGATTTATCGTATTCAATAAATGTCGTTGCTGAGGTTTTGCTACCCGTGAACTGTATGTAATAATTGCTGTACACAATCGTTTGATCTCTCGTTCATCATTGCTGGCGTGTCGCGTGCTCGGATGCCAGGCCACTTTTACATTAATGTTGCTGTACAACCTCAACCATAACGACCGACGTAGTTGTGACAAGTTCACACTAAGGTACGCATGAACAATTAAGCATTGTAAGCTTGCTCGAGTTTTCCCACAGCCA